TTACAACTCCAAAATTTTATAAGCTGCAACTAGTTGCAACTAGGTGATGCTTTATTTGTCACCACGTTGCAACAGTTACTGCGTCATCTTTAGTTTATATCTCCTTCTAACAACTATGATACATGTTGCTTTTATATAATTCCAAGATATAATTTCTAGGCTATACGAATTCATGTATACTATATCATTTAAATTCTATTAGTTCAATATTCGTTCACTTGTTCATTTAGTTATTCGTTCGTTCACTCGTTTGCTTGTTCGCTCACTTGTTCGCTCACTTCATGTGATATGATCTTTATCCAATAATATATAAGATATTTATAATCCAATAATAAAATATTATGATGAAAGGTCATTATACAACACTAGTTAATAAACTGCTTCTTGTTTATTATTTAATGAAAATTGTACATTAATTAATTTATAATTATTAATCTTGTTATAACACTTACTTTATATACTACTGGACATTTAACCAGATTACTATAGAATATCAGTACTGTATTGCTATAGAACCATCACTATACTAAGTAAATACAAAGGAAAATATTTATTAGTAGTAGTGTTACCTATTCTAAATTAATAGAATAAAAAAAGCTGCACAGTACCACAATCCTAAAATAACTGAATTAAATTATAAACTTACTGAAATAGATGTTAGTTGAATATCTACATCATGAGATTACCTATTTGAGCCCAGAACTCATGACAACATTTGTGATAAAACCTATTGAATGTTATATTAAATAAAGGAATTATTATTATAATTTATAAATTTATCTTTGAGATTGTATTGCTGATAATACATTGCTCATAAATTTATCTTCAATTTGTATTGCTAATAAAGATGACGTGGTAACTGTTGCAACGTGGTGACAAATAAAGCATCACCTAGTTGCAACTAGTTGCGGCTTATAAAATTTTGGAGTTGCAACGTGTTGCAACGGGTGACAAATAAGCGTCACGTACTTGTTGCGCCATCTTTAATTGCTAATAATATATTATTCATTTTCGATCTCATATTGCTGATAATACAAATATTATAATCTTTATAACTTTGACTCTGAGATTTTGAGAACTCTTTTTTTTAACAATCCAAACTATTACATTTAAAGAACACAACTATTATCAACCTTTAAGTAATTTTGTCACTAATATTTTTAGTATTTATTCATATTTAGTCTAATAATTATAAAGTATTATTAATATTTTGAATTATTATTAAGACATTGGAAGTTTCCCTTTGAATATTTCTTAAATACCTTTGAATATTTCAAAAATCAATCAAAAAATAATAATATAAATGGGAAAGCAAAATAAAATGATTATAAAGAAGTGTAACTATAGAAAGATATGATTATAAACAAATGTGACTATAAAGATATTTGATTATAATAATTATAAACTATAATTCTAAGCAAATTTGTAACCAGAAATAAGAGCTACAATTTGGTATAAAATTAATAATTATATTCAAAATTTATAATTGTATTTAATATTTATAAAAATGAAAATACTTTAGTTATCTTTTAATTCTCAATAAATAGTATAATTTGTAATTAAAGTTGTAGCTTATGATTAGAACTACAAATTGATATATGATAGTATATGTCGATCTCTGATCGAACTCGAACCAGGTTCGAACTCGTATAACGGTTCAGTTCGAGTCCGGTTCGAACTTCGAACCTTTCTTGAACTCGAGCCAAAGTCCGGTTCGAGTTCGGTTCGAATTTTGAACCAGAATCGAACCCAGGCAAAAGTCCGGTTCGATCTGGTTCATAGGAACACTAGCGCTAACCCTGGATCAATCAACCCTCTGAGAAGTAATCTATAATCTAATTTATCGAAATTTGTGATATTTCCAATCTCAACAACGAATATGGGAATAAAAAGAAGCTCCAGATCTGTTATGCGATCAAATGATGATATGTGTTTCTAGACGTGAATGCTATATCCGATATTGAAATCAAATCATCCCTGTGAGCAAGTGACAACACCGTTCTGGCGAGTTTGCACGTTCCAATTATCAAGTTGCTTTCCGATTCCCAGAACAATAGTTTTCTTACCAATAGGTGATTGTGACATGGAAAGTTAACTTATTATTTTGTCGAGTTCAAAAGATTGACTGGTTATCCGTTGATTTCTATAGAACTTGCCTTGAACTGTTCGTTGATTAACTCGAATTCTTTGAACTTTCCCAGCACGATCTAGCAAACCACAAGATTAATTAACCAATTAATTAATCAGAATTTCGGTTACGGTTAAAGTAAGAACCAAAGTTAAGCTTATTTGCCAAAACGAATGTTTTTAGAGCAAAAATTTCGCAAGGAACATTTTTTGTTAGTACACAAGACAGTTTCAAAAATAAGCGTTTGTTTTGAATTCAATAACATAGCCACAGTGCTGAGTTTGCAGGATAAATAATTTTATTGGTGTAACCAATGATTGGATGCTGGTGCCACTGGTCACGAGAGATTTTTGCATATAGCTGAAATCGCGAAAATTTTCCCACAAGCATAGCGATAGAATATGCGTAATAACAATAACGAAAAGTTCACACACGCCAATGCGCGCAGGAAAATATTCCGCACTATTCTGAAAAAATTGGAAACGAGAAGCGTGGTATAATTTCATACACATCCAAATGAACATTACTTGAATTATTGCTTTTTTCTATGTAAAAAAAAACCAAAACACATAATTGACTGTTTATCCACATTAAAAACGGAATAATGAACCAACATGAAAATTTATTCAATCTAACAATTCGTAGTAATGCACCCGAAAACGACGGAGAGACGTATTGCCACTGTGGAGGAGATCACTTCAGGAGAGAATGTCCAAATCACGAAGAAGACGATGACAACGACGACGATTATTATGTTTGTCCTTTATGTGGAAAAGGTCATCTCATGAAAAAATGCCCTTCATATCTCGGATCGCAAACCAAAAATCTCGGGAAAAAACATCGCCAGAGAGAGACAAATTCGAGTCGAGAAAAAATTGCTCTCTAACATATACATGATGTTGGTTGGGAAACGATTGGAAGAGTAAATAATCTTGGAAAAGAGAAGGAGACCTTGCAGACTCCAAAGAGGTATATTAAACACGAAAATCAGCAATCAAATGGTATGGGAAGAGATAAAAAGAAGAGCTGCTAAATAATTATGTGTTTGTTAACTACTAATTAACAATATCGATAGCAACATTTACGTTATAAAGTAGCAATTACACGAAATTTTAACAAGGCAATAAATTGCCGATCATGAAAATTATAAATATCGAGCAATTGTGTCTTTAAACTTTGGGTCTCGGGAAGGGAAAAGTTTCTCTTGAATCAATATTATGTTCTTGTCAACAACACGTTCTATTTCTTCTTTTTCTGCGACCGCTTGTAGAATAAAGTTTCGAACTTTGTATTTTTCACGAAACTCGAGCATTGTAAATAAAAATTTCTTTTTTTACTGTATTGTAATTATTAAACTGATATTATTTCTTTGTCTGCAAGCTCTTACAAAAAGCATCGTCAATGTCGTGTAAAAACAAACGAAATTACGCAACTGACGTGTCAACAAACGATAAAAATCGTGTTGAAAAAGCTGCGGCAGCAGAAAATTCGTCTGTTAACAATCAAATACTTTCCAAGACACTGAAATCAAATGTTATTGAGGACTATTGGCATGATATCGACTCTTATATTCAAGAGCCTGGTATTAGAACATAAAATTTGCTTCAAGTATGTCAAAAATACAGTGTAAAATAATGTAATTTTATGTTGCTTGCAGGCTTCTTTCACTTTGGGGGCCCGGATTCTCTGTCCACAATAAGGGACCCAAATTTCATACGAAAGTTGATTTCCGGTGCTATTAGTAAAAAGCGAACGGAAGGAGACTTATTACCCAGCATCTTTACCAAAAGATGCTGTGAGCTATACGAGAGATTGGATAAGGTTTTCTTTTTATCTCGATCTATCAAATGAAATATCAAAAGAATTACTTTAATGTGAATAATTTATCATATAGGAAGGAAGAATAATGTTTATGGAAGTGTTAGCTCGTGAATTTGGTGAGAAGAATTAGAACATTATACTTCTACAAATGCAATATGATAGATATAACTTTTCATATTTATATTATTACATATAGGGGTACCAAAAGATGACTCAATCAAAGCTGCACAAAACTACATTCAAGCTGTTGGAGAAGACAAGGTATGAATTTTCAAACCGTCATACTGTAAATAACGCGTATATTTTCGCTTTACAAGAAATATGTATGCGATTTGGGTTTCAACTCTCGAATGTAAAAAAGCGCTTGTATGAATAGACAGCCAATGCAGTGTTTCGTGCCGAACAACTACTTCGCCACGTTTTAGTACCTTATCATAGTATTTTCTTTGAACGAGTGAATTATTTGCCAGATGGGATAAAGTTTCTGTTAGACTTGCGCACGGAATTGCTGGTATGTAAATTTTTTTGTGATGCAGAATTTTTTTTGAGTTTCAATAATTATTGTTGATTGCGATTTACTACGGTAGACTGCTATTAATGAGCGAGAACATGATGATACGTATTTGTTGTCACTAAATGATTCGTTAAAGGAAAAACTTAGAGGTTGGCTGCTTGGATTTTCAGAACTTGAGCGAATCACGTGGAAATCACCAGCAATAATTTTGGAAAAGGTACTTTTTTTGAGCATAATTATTATTGTATTATTTTCATAATTTATGTCCATCGTTTGGGATCAGTTGAAAGAACATGAACGCGTCCATGCTATACAAGGATGGCAGGATCTGAAAAGGCAGGTTTTTTTTTGAAATCTTTGTTCTTTGATAATAAATTTTTCTTATATATGTATATATTTATATTTTTGCTAAATCTTATTAAGACGAGTAGGACCTGGTATGAATTGATTATTTATCAAAGTGATGATATATTAGATATGAAAATAATACTGTATTAAAATAAAATAGGCAGACGTTTATTTGGATACTTTTATCGGAGTATGCCACACGAACCTCTTGTTTTTGTACAAGTAGCGTTAACTAATGAACTATCTGGAAATGTTCAGGTATATATATTATACATTATTTCTATAAATATTAATTTTAATAATATAATATATTTTGAAAATTTGATAGACTATATTAAACGACCCGTCACCCATGACGCCTGATCATCCTCAATTTGCAATCTTTTATTCGATAACCAGTCAGCCTGGTCTTTCGGGCATTGACTTAGGAAGTTTCCTGCTGAAGCGAGTAATAATTGAATTACAAAAAGAATTTCCCAGCATTCATACTTTTTCTACACTTAGTCCAATTCCTGGATTCCGTCATTGGTTAGAAACAACTCTCGAACTTGAAGGCACTAATATCTTTTTGAGCGGCGAAGAGGATCGAATAAAGACACTTGCGAGTCATGTATCAAGTGATTCTGCAATTGATGACGTCAAAATACTAAAAGATATTCTAAGGTTAAATGAGTGGGCACATAATGAAACGATTAGTGAGATTTTGAAACCTATTCTATTGAGATTATGTACCAGGTTTGTTAGTTTGCATGCTAATATATATGTGTCAAATCTGATTTGTGAATTCTTTCTTCAATAGGTACATCTTGACCGAGAAACGTCAGAATCTAGCACGTGATCCTGTTGGTACGTAAATCTTGGAAAGGAAAATCTTAGTTCTATAAATCATATATTAATTACACATTTTCGTGTTATTTTCACTTTAAAACAGCCAACTTTCATATACGAAACGGCGCATGTGTACATCGAACAAACTGGCTAAGCGATACTTCAGGTAATCGATAAAACTGTAAGAATCCAATTCATTCACGCAAATTTAATCTCACATATTCGCATATTTTATCATCATGATCACCCATAAATAAATTTTAGACAAAGGATTCGAGCAGTCATTTGGAATCATGATCAATTATAATTACGTGACTTCTCGAATCGAAGGCAACAACCAAAAATATCTTCGTGATGGAACAATCACCTTGTCTTCTAATGAAGATTTATTTTTGATTGAGGAAGCTGCGAGATCGCCTGCTAAGATTGAGCTGTTTATAGAGTCATAGATAGATGGTTAGATTGTTTTGAAGTTTCTGATTCCTTGTTATTTATTGGTTTGCTCCTAAGGGTGTAAATTGTACGAAAATTAAAAATTGGACTTTATTTCTGAGCTGTGTAAAATCACACATCATGCCGATTCTTAAAACAGGATATGCATCTACTCGGGATCGAACCGAGGACCTTGTGCGTGTAAAGCACACGTGATAACCGCTACACCATAGATGCTCTCTCTCATAGAGAATCTTTCTTAAAAGGTATATACATGTGTGTCTCATGAGCATGGATGTGATTAGGGCTGTGACCAAACTAAAATTTTTTGTCGAAAATACCATTTAGACATAAATTATATAGCCGAAACCTTTATCAAACAGCGACCCTAGATGTGCTGATAGACGAAGGGAGGTGCATAACATGATCTTTAATTATAAAAAAATACGTAAAATCAATCACGAGTAACATAAATGTAATAAGAACCAAAAAAAACATCAGCCGGAAAATTTTTGGGAATAATAATTCGTGTAACACACTCTTAGAAGGTGAGTTCAAAGTAAGAGTTGATGCACCTTTTGTTGTGATCATCATCATCTTCACACATATAAATAAATAAAATAATATATATACATATATAAACCGCCAACTCTTATTTAACACTCTGATTCTTGCCATTCTCTTAACAAAAGAAGCAATTTACGTTCAAGAAATTATACAAAAGTTTCTCGTTACGAGAGTTTAAGTGGATTCTACTACCACCCAAAACAGGAGCAAGAGTGAAATAATAATTAATTATTATTATTATTATTATTATTACTAGAGATTAAAATCGCTAGAAGCAAGCTGAAAAAATAGGCTGTGTGTTTGAGTGATATTATTACAAGTAAGCAAAAGCGAGCAACAACAAAAACAAAGGACAACGACCGGGACGATAAAGACGACGACGACGATCTCTAGATACTCATAGAGATAGAGGAATTTGAGATATAAAAGAGACTCTTGCATTTTATTAATTGTTTTTTATCGTGGCCATTCATTGGGTCTTTTAAGAGAAAATTTTATTTTTGATTTCGGAGTGTTCTCGCTGCTGGACATTAATTAATTGGATTAACTAAATAGTAATATCATAAAATATATGATGGATGGGTCTCCGCGTATTAGACGACACACCGAGCATATTCAACCACCACAATTTGTAACTGCTGCTTCCTCGGGCCATAGTAATAATAATAGTAGTAGTAGTAGTAGTAGTAGTAATAGTAGCAATAGTAGTAATAATGATAATAACAATACAAATACAAATGATAGACAACCTGCTCCTGGTGCTGCTACAAGTGCTGAAAATATGGACTATGTTGGGATTACAATTACCGAAGATTTCGCACAAAAAGAATTGCCACCTTTTCCCGTAATATCTTCCCAACGAAATCAACAACAAGCACAACAACAACAACATTTACCGCAATCACAACAACCACCTCAGCGTCATTCACAATTAACCCAAACTCAGAATACAGTTCAGCGTCATGATCCTCCGATAATCTATCTTAGGCGGCGATCAGAGAATTATGTGCAACATCCTCTCCAATCTAAAAACTACTCTGTATCTCCATCTTCTACAGCATCATTACAGCATATATTACCTCAACATCGACCACCTGGATCATCATCTCAACATATATCTCTGCTACATCAATTACCGATTTCACAACAGCAACAACAATTATTACCTCCACTACACAGTACTAATAATAATAATAATAACAATACTAACAATAATAGTAGTAGTAGTAGTAATAATACTTCTTCATCTTCACAAAATTTACTATTACCACAATACTCTTCTCATTTACATCTTCCCTCACAAACTCATCATCCGCCATTAATAAATCCAAGTGCGAAACAACAACAACAACAGCAGCAGCAACAACAGCATCATCATCATTATCAACGTCCCGCTCACCTTAATCACAATGCTCAGTCACTATCGAATAATCATCAACAGCAGCATCATCAAAATCATCACCAGCCAGATAATCATCATCAAATGGCTATTTCATCATCAAAATCATATAACAGTAACAATAATAATAATAATAATAGTTATTCATCGTCTCAGACGATACTCCCTCTACCAGGAACAACATCATCATCATCAACAACTACTACTTCATTATCTCAATCTCCAATCAAAAACTCGAATATAACACACAATTTTCATTTTCGAAAAGATTATGACTCAAAATACGATTTTCGCGGATCCGTTTTTCGACATGTCAGATCAAAATCCGATATAAATCAGTATTCACACAACTCCCGCACAACATCCTCAACGACGACGCCGCTGCCGACGATATCCGATCAAAAGAAAAATAATAGTCACATCAGTGTATGTCAATTTTTTAAATCATTATTTTCAAATTTAATACAAGCATTTTGAGCATTATCTCATTACATAGATTTACCTGAAAAATAATGTGTGTGAACACCACAGTAATTGCTTCCTACTACTACTATTACTATGAAACATTAAAAAATTTGATTACTACAGCCACTAAAAGCACTGACTGTGAAACTCTCAACAACTTATCATCGTGTTAATCCCAATTTTCGGTATGAAAATGCCCAGAATCCGCGTCGGGTTTTGACTAAACCGTCAAAAGGTGTGAAAAACGATGGGTATGATAATGAGGACTCGGATTATATACTCTATGTGAATGATATACTGGGTAATGAGGAAGGTCAAAAGTGAGTGTGTAATTTTTTTGAGCAATCAATTATTTTTATTTTACTTCTAATTAATCTTAATCTTCTCATGAATTGATTGATTGATTGATTACTCATAGATACCTAATACTGGATATACTTGGCCAAGGAACTTTTGGTCAAGTGGTGAAATGTCTCAACTTCAAAACAAAAGAAGTAGTCGCCGTAAAAGTAGTAAAGAACAAACCTGCATATTTTAATCAAAGTATGATGGAGGTAGCAATACTGGAGTTGGTAAGAAGAATGTTAAAGTTTATTATTTGTCAATATTCGAAAAATACTTTTACTATTGTATTATCATCAAGGTGTTTTTGGTATGAATGATTCAATCATCAACCTCATCAATTTTTCTAGCTGAATCAACAATGGGATGCGCAAGATGAACATCATATATTGCGCCTACGTGATACTTTTATACATAAGAAACATTTATGCTTGGTGTTTGAACTACTGTCGGTGAATCTATATGAGCTGATTAAGCAGAATCAGTTTCGTGGACTGAGCACGAATCTTGTAAGAGTATTCACCGCGCAGTTATTGGATTCTTTGACGGTTTTGAATGAAGCACGGATAATCCATTGCGATTTAAAACCGGAAAATGTGTTACTAAAAAAGTGAGAATGCTTTTTCAATGATATTATTGTTTCATTTGTGCCGCGTAAATTAAATCATTAAGTTAATTCTACAATCATTATTATTATTAAGTCTCGAATCACCGACTATTAAAGTTATTGACTTTGGCTCTGCGTGCCACGAGCGCCAGACTGTATACACATACATTCAATCTCGATTTTATCGAAGTCCTGAAGTTTTATTGGGTTTACCGTAAGTGTAATCGGAAAGTGAGCAAATGTAAAATTACTTCGAGATTGACTTTCCTATCTTTACTTCTTCCCGTATATAGATATTCATCATCAATTGATATGTGGTCATTGGGTTGTATTGCTGTGGAATTATTTCTCGGGTTGCCTCTGTTTCCGGGCAGTTCAGAATACAATCAAGTATCTCGTATAGTGGAGATGCTTGGTGTTCCACCTCCATACATGATAGAAGTAGGGAAGACCGCGCATGAATACTTTGAACGTTACACAAATGAGCACGGTCAAAAAAAGTATCGTCTAAAGTCGATGGAGCAATACATGCGAGAACACAATTGTGTCGAACAACCCTCAAAAAAATATTTTTCCGCGACAACACTGCCAGAAATTATTCAGAGTTATCCTATTACAAGGAAAGGTCTCACTCAAAAAGACATCGATAAAGGTAAAGAATCATTGTGGCGATTTTTCTTCGGGTTAAATTTTAACAGTCAATTTGTTTTTTGTCAAATTTTTAGAAATGCAAAATCGATTGGCATTTATTGATTTCGTTCAAGGATTATTGAATTTGAACCCGATTGAACGTTGGTCCCCTCAACAGGCCAAATTACATCCTTTTATTACAGGAGAAAAGTTCATAGGGAAATTTACTCCACCAATGTTACTTAAATCTACAAAAACTAATCCTGCTCCAGGACAAGCTGGCTGTTCGTTACCTGCTCATCAAAGTTCTTCCGTGCATTTATCCCCGATATCTTCGCAGTCAGTTCACAAGACTCCGAATACTTCACCCAAAGCTCCACACAGAAAACCAGTTCCCGATAATTTACAAAGTGGTAGCGGTAATAGCATGCTATCACCTCATAATGTTAGCCACGTAACATCGCAACGTCATCCCGCTCAAAATGCCACAAAGACAGCTACGTTAACATCATCATCCTCCTCATCATCATTAAACCCAAAATCTATCGGTTCAATAAATCGACCTCGAGCAAGCACAATTGGAAATGTTCAAGTGCCACCTCAAATCCAACGTGCCGCGGCTCTAGTATCCCCTGGGAGAGCACCACGGGAAAAAGATCCTAGAAGATTACCTCAGCATTATCCACACTTGAATTTCTTAAATGAACAGGACGTGTCTTCGGAACATGGTCCTTTCTCGGTGATTGTAGATAGCGATGATAGGCATGACGTTGAAAACAATAATAATGGAGTTTTTGGGATACGTATTAATGAAGAATGGTCGGAGATGAATGGTACTCGACTTGGGGATGAGCGATATCGTAGTAACAGTGACGAACAACAACATCGAGAAGAGCATTATCATCAAGTCAGGACATCATCGTCTACTGATGCTTCGATAAAACGAGGGGGAGAAGGTCAAAATATAACAATCAACAATAACGAGAAGAGACTTCGTGGAGATGGCGGAATGCAGATGCCCGGATCTTTACCGAACGGTGGAATTGATGATAGTATTATTGTTAGCGGTGCAAATGTTTTGCCGCTTCATTTATCTCCTGCACCTTTGAGGAATTTTAGAAATTCCCCAAATATTTACACGCCACCAAATTCAGCCCCATATCAAACTCATGCACAAGGACAACTTCATCTATTGCCGCTTCCAAGCAATATGAATTATCAGCAAAATTTTGCACCACCACCACCTCCTGTCCTGCCACGGCATCACGATAATAACAATGATTTTTCCTCGTCACCTACAACATACATAACATCATCACCTACTAAATATACTACATCATCATCTTCGACGTCGTCTTCGTCGTCGAAGTATCCAATACAACCACAATCTCAATTTACAATATCACCAACAACATCATCAATAGCAACAAATTCCACTGTTCCAACTGAAAATATTAATAACAATAATAATGTTAATGCTAAACATTCGGAGCGTGAGAAGCATCATCGCCATCATCATCGATATAGCACAAATGGTGTTGGTAATGTTTAGTTAGTGAGTTATTATTATTGATTCGAACTTTAATTAATTAGTGCAACAACATAATACGAAGAAATGCCGCACACGGGCAGTAGGCCAAAGTTTAATCGATGCGATGTTACTAGGTATAAAATTAAAATTAAAATTATTATTATTATTATTATTATTATTATTATTATTATTATTATTATTATTATTATTATTATTATTATTATTATTATTGTTATTGTTATTGTTATTATTTTTATTATTACCACTTTAGTTTGACCATTGAGTGATTTCTTCAAATCAAAAGAAAGGAAGAAAAACAGAATTAGTCTATTTTTTGGATATTTATTATTCCCTTTGGCTTCAGAATACATATTCTAATTCTAATTTTAGGTGTAGAGAAAAAAAAGGTCAATAATAATAATATCAACAATTCTGTGCATCAGTCATCATCACCATCATGTTCTTCGTCTTTTATTATTATTATTATTTTGGGCATGAAATCTAAACATTAAAAATTTGATTTCTCAAAAGAGAGAATATTATTTATTATTACGTATTATTCTTGTATGCTAAATGAATCTTCATGTTAGTATTTCATTTAGCAAACCGATAGTATTTCAAAGTAAAATGATTTATTAGAGATAAATTCAATTCAATAGACACCATGTAAATTAGTATTTTGTTGTGCATGTGAAACATTCCTATTTTGGATCCTAAAAAACTGAAGGTGAAATAAAGAATCGTTATTATCATCCAATTACTGATTCGTTCATCATTGATATCAATAGAAAATAGAAAAAAGGGAGTATACATAAACACACACCCTAAATTTTAAAATTAATTATATCTTGGTCAGTCGGCCTCACCAACAGCTGTATTATATACAAACAGAAATCTAACTGAATTCATTCTTCATAGTCTACACATAATCTAAATCAATCCATAAAGAAATGAGCGGCCCCAGCGAAGCTCCAAAGAAAGTAACTCTTAAAAGTTGTGACGAACATGAATTTAAAGTTGATATACCAGTCGCAAGTCGTTCCATCTTGCTCAAAAACATGATTGAAGGTTTGTTATCCGTTTTTTTTGTGGAGATATGGCAAAATGGCGTTTTTTGAAAGATAATTGATTTGCTATAAATTTGCTTTTATACGGGTCGTTTTCAATAATATAAAAGATGTTGGAGAGACCGACCAATCCATCCCTCTGCCTAACGTTAACGAGAAGGTCTTAAAAAAGGTAATGCGTCTTATTCTTTTATTTAATGCTACTATAAATACTACGTCATAAGTTTTCCTCATCCTGTATTTTCTCCACAGGTGTTGGAATGGTGCGAGCATCATGTTAAAGATGCTCAACCAACCAACGATGACGATGATTCTCGTCGACGAAATACGGATATCGAGGACTGGGATCAGAAATTCCTTAATGTCGAGCAAGATATGTTATTTGAAATAATTTTGGTAATATATAGCCATCCAATAATCCAAATAATCCAGACAAAAAAATACTAAAAACTTTTCTAATTGATTTATAGGCCGCCAACTATTTGGATATTAAACCATTGCTGTGAGTACCTTATTCAACACCATCATCATCATCAATTACATACAATTTTCCATAATCTATTTTCTTCCTACTATAGACTCACACAATACATATTATGATTTTATTTAAATCATACAAAATAATTAGCGATATCGGATGCAAAACTGTAGCTAATATGATCAAAGGGAAATCACCCGAAGAAATTCGTGCCACATTTAACATCGTCAACGATTTCACCCCCGAGGAAGAAGAGCAAATCCGTAAAGAAAATGAGTGGGCTGAAGATCGATAAACTCTCACAAACATAAATTCGCACATACACAACACACAACAATATATTGGTTAATTGACTTTCCAGCACTCTTCCACATATAGTAATAACAGTAATCAAATATAAAAGTTCCCTTAACAATAATAATAATAACATAATGATCGCTTAGGAAATTGTAATTGTGGACTAAATACATGCAATAATAATACACTACCGAACTAGCTTCTTTTTTATGATTATTGCTAAACAGTGTAATAACATAAAGAAATAGATTTAATTATTTAACTTGCGAAGTGTCTGTCACTATAACGGGAGGTACTTGTATACATATATCGATATCGAATTTTATACCAAATGGCTATTGACATTATTATGTTTATCAAACTATAACCTAAATAGGGCTTTTTAAATTATGAAAACGTGACATCCAAATCACATGACTAAAATTTTAATGGTACTCGAAGAATCATCGTCCTTTAAATACTGGCAATCTTTTTTCACTGAATGCTTTCAATGCTACAAACAGGTTAACATTGCTATTATTATTGTTATATATTCGAGATTATAAATAATGAAGTTATTCAAACCTTCAATACGATCTCCAGTCGTAATAGTTTGATCATAACATGTTTTTTCGAAATCGAGCCCTGTTTCTCTGATTATAATAAAAGTTAACATCTAAAGCTAATCTAATATATCATGGAATTCTAAGTGATTTTTTTGCATCTTCATTAACTTACAAGTCTACTTGGCTTCCTCGATCAATCGCAAGTTTGGCTAATCGAATTGCAATTGGTCCTTTTTTCAAAAAGAATAAATAAATATATGATTGACTCTGCGTAAAGGCACATAATTGTTTCGATTAAAATACCACTTGGTAATATTTCTCTGGCCAATTCGAGAGATTTTGGGAAAGATGATCCTTTTTTAACAGCATAGTTCACGATCCCTTTAAAAGATAATACAATACTATTAAAAAAGGTAATTTCTTTGGCGTACGCGTAAAATATATACTAAGCTCACCCAAATCTAAAGCTTGTTGTTCATTCAAACTTCGCCCAGTAAAAATTAACTCTTTTGCCTTCCCAAGACCAACCACGCGCATTAATCGTTGAGTACCACCTGCCCTAATTTTTGTGCGTCAATTCAGAGCACAACATCGTACCAAATAAAAAAGTCTTTTTCCAATTACCCTGGTATTATTGCAAGTTTAGTCTCAGGAAGCCCAATTTTCGCGTGTTCACCTAGATCAAAAATACAATGTGAAGAAAAAAATAATTCGGATAACAAGGGGAGACTGAAAACAAAAATACCAGCAACGCGCATATCACAGCATAATGCCAGTTCTAGACCTCCACCAAGAGCCGCGCCATCAATAACTGCAATTGTTGGCATAGGAAGCGTCTATATAGAATTTGATTATTTCGATAAAAATTTGCATGATTGATTTTTTTAGTCTCAAGATTATAATTACTTCGAGTCCTCGATACGCGTGTCGCAAGTTATTAAGAAATTTAGATATCTCTTCCGAAGACATTGTAGCACGTTCCTTTAATAACAAATATAATTCAATATACAAAATTTGATTCGAGTTTACAAATAAAGTATTTTGACAAATTAATTCCTAGTTCACCTTTAGATCTGCCCCAGAACAAAATACTTTATCTACCAGACTACGAATCAATACAACTCTCGTTTTACTAATTATATAGAAAATGAAGATAACGCAGAAATGTTTTCAGCGAAATGATCACATGTTAGTCGAGTCAATTTCAATTGCATCAACCCTACGTGTGATGTCTTAATCCTTCAATAGCCTCCTGAAATTCATTTAAAAAATCACGCGAAATTGCATTTCTCGTTTGTGGACGATTAAAATTTATCATTGCAATGCCTAAGTTGCAATATAAATAATATAAATAATAAAAATAATTAAAATATTGATTTGAAGTTGAATAGCTTTTGTGTTAAAGAATTCTTTATTTTTGTAAACTTATTTCTACATTAAGGATACTTGGTCAAATGAAAATCTCTAGCCTGTTTACAAATCATTTTCTATTAATAACCTGCATCTTCTCCATCCAACTCTTCAACAAAACACTCCTTTTGCGCCTTTGCAGCTGTTGTCTGTAAAGCACGCACAAATAATTTACTAACATGATGATGATAAGGTTTTCTTAAAAAAGTTCTTGTTGCAATCATTAGTATAGCGATAGTAAAATTACTCTTGATAGTATCCTAGACGTAATTATAATCTGTGCTCGGTTCGCGTTCACATGATTTTTTTCACATGATATGATCGACAGCGTCCCTGAAAATTTTCCTATTATTACTATATCATTAGATGTTATCCCATATCACCATTTAATTTATTCTTTATTAATGCCTGTTGCAAATTATGAAATTGTTTTTTTTTGAATCTCTTTAAACACACAAGCATATTAAAGTGATTTATTTTCATTTTATATTGTTATAATTTGATATTTCTTATATTTAATTTTATATATTTCTATATTTTATTATATTAGTATTTAAAAATAATCTTATTGAACAATCTTATTTATAATTAGTATTTGAAATTCAGTTCAAATTTCAGTTTAGTTTTTATAATTCATTTATAAATATAATCTGTATTTTAATTTAACAAAAAAAATAAGTTTTAGAAGTATTTTTTAGTTAATTACTTTGATAATTCTTTTATATTTAATAATTTCTTATCTTAATTGAGAAATTTTTATTATTTGATTTATAATCTTTTATTTCTATTGCAAAGTTATATAGTCAAACCCCTTTATAGTCACATCTTTTTATAATTACACTTTTTTATAATTATACTTCTTTATAGTCATTCTATTTTGCTTTCCCATTTATATATAAATATAGTAAAAAAATTTCTCTATAGTCACATTCTCTCTATAGTTATCAAATTTTTCTTTTCCAAGAGTGATAACTATAAAAATATTTGACTATATTTCTTATAATATTTATAATTGATCTTTAATTTATATTGTAAAATCAATATTATATAATTAGATTAATAAAAAAAATTATATTTTATTTATTTATAAATCACTTTAAAAGAATATAATTATTTTTGAATATTTTTGATCTTATTTTAGCTAATTAACAAATAAATATACATTACTTATCTTTAGATATTTGTATTTTCTTTTTCACTTAACTTAGTATTACATATTATTTATATATTCTTTTATAACAAAACTAAAAATTATATAAAACAATAACAATATATAGTATTTTGCAAATTTTTCTTGAACTTTTTTTTTATTATTATAAGTGAATTTTTATGAAATTTAATATTAATAAATATTATATCAAGATAACTAAATTTAATTATAATATAATTTAAATATAAGTATATAATAAAATTCTATTTTAAGTAATAAAAATATTTTGTTTTAAGTACAATCAAATTTTTCTATAATTATTATCAGAAAAGCAAAACTAAATAATTATAAAAAGAATGTAATTATAGAGTAATTTTTTTACTATATTTATATATAAATAGAAAAGCAAAATAGAGTAACTATAAAGAGATATAACTATAAATAAATATAATTATAGAGAAATTTAATTGTATTATAAAATTAAAGTAATAATAATTTGTTTTAAAAGATCTTATAATAATTAAATAAAAATTTAATATTATTACTTAAATTAATAAATAAAAATTTATTTGATTTAATATTTTTATAACTTAATTAATAAATTATTTTTATTTATTTATTAATTATTAATCTATTTAATTAATTAATTTATTTAATTAATTAAATGATCATAATATAATTATATTATAATTATTTAGCTTAGATTATTCTCACTATATATATAAAATAATGAAATTATATATATATTATTTAAAGATAATATTTTAATTAATTATAACTTGCAGTATCCAATCAGAAAATTATAATTTAATTGTAATAGTCAATTAAAGTATTATAATCAAGTTGCAACCAATTACAATTTTATCTTTAGTATTATTACTTGAGTAATGATAAGTTTATGAATTTGTTATTATATTTGAATATCTATAATTATATAAAAATATAATAACAAATTTGTATTTGTATTATTATCCTGAAAAGTTACTGAGATATATATTAAGAATAATATATAATATCATAATTGATAATTGTAATTGATTTTTATTATTAAATTAAATAAAAGATATTATATACTTAAAATAATAATTATAATTAATTTTTATTATCAAATTATATATAAGTTTTATTTATCCTATTATTCTATTTATAAATTATATATTTATAAATTTAATTATATATAAAATTAAAATATATAATAATAATTATATTGTTATAATTATATTATAAAAATTATTAATTTCACAATTTGTAATATTTTACAAATTTATAAAAATTATACAAAAAATTTAAATATTTTACAATTATGTTATATATTATACATGTTTTTATATTTTTATATTTAATAATTTTAGCATTAATATAATATCTTATTAATATAATTATCCAATTAATTACTAATTAATACTTAATAATTGTTTGATTAATTATCATGAGAAAAAGATAAAATTAATTTTATTATATATATATTATATATTATATATTATATATTGTTACCATTTTAATATGACTTTAAGTTCTGTTACGAGAGTACACATGATAGAGTCAGATGGGAGAATTGACGTATTAAATAACTTTAAGTTGGAAGAGTTTACTAAGCTATTTAACATATATTCATTTTGTTGATCAGCTAGAATGAGATCAGAAAGATTCAAAAGTAATTGTATATCTTTTATAATTTAATTTATAATAAGTTAAATATTTCTTTTAAGTTTGGTTTATAAACAAGTAAGATGTAATTTTCTTTTATTAATTCAATACTATTATTGACTT